CAGGGACACCACCCCACCCCAAAGGCAGTGGTTGTCCTCCAGTCCAGTCCCCCTCCCCGGAGCGCACCGTGTGATTCTGGAGAAGCTGGTGCCCCGCCATCTGTGCGCCTGTTCCAAGGGGTCGCAGTGACATCTGCAGCCCCTGCTCCTAACTGCACCTGTGCTCCCCCCTCCCTCCACTTGGGGACACCCCAGCTCTGATGATGATGATGCTGGTGGTGGAGGCGGTGGTTTATTGTGTCCTTACTCTGTCAATGGACAGCCCTGGTATATCCATTTCCCAGGACCATCGGGATCCCATGATGTCCCCTCGGCCCATGAGTCCCTTTTTTCTCACTCCCGGGCTGGGCCATTGTGTTCGAATCTTGGCCCGACCACTGCCTAGCAGAGGGAGCTTGGGCAGCTGGCATGGCTCCTCTGGGCCCGGGTTTCCCCATTTGCCAAGTGAGGGTGGTTGTGACCTTCTCAGAGGGCTGATGTCTCCCAATGCTCTGTGTCCTGAGCGGTTTCTGTGAATCATCATGGCATGTCCCCGGGAGGCGGTGGAACTCCGTCCTATTGTGCAGAAGGCTTAACTGAGGTTCAGAAAAGTGTGCACCTGGCCCAGAGCCACACACAGAGCGACAGACTCAGGAATGAAACCACAGAGTGACAGACTCAAGAATCTGTTAGGTCGGAGGGAAGTCCAGGTGCCAATACATGCAATCACAAGGCAGATGGTGACGCAGATACTGGTTCCTTCCTGGAACCTGGAACAGACCTGCCCGAGGCAGAAACTCCCACAGCTCATGTCCCCCGCCCTCACTGAACAGCTGTATAAAAAAGTGCCTTCACTCCCTTTTGACGAGACTTCACTGGCCCCACCGTTGAACCCGTGAACCTCGCCCGGCAGTGCAGATTAAAGTTACTCTTTTTAACTTGCCTGGCTTTCTGACCTTGTCTCCTGCGCCGCGAACCTTACATTTGGTGCCAAAACCCAGGAGGTGCAAGCACCCCATCCGACCGTCCCCCTACAGTCTGGGGTGCCATCCTCTCCCTTCTCATGGCTCAGGATCCCCCGGCTTCTCCACCCCGGTGAGCGTCCCGGAGGGGCCTCCTCCTCCAATCAGACGCTCAAGGCCTGTCCCCCTCGCAAGCGGGGCCGCCCCCCCAAGTCAGGGCAGGAGCCCCCACTGGCCCAGGGGGTGACAGCCCCAGTGGGCAGCGGCGGAGATGGCAACGACCTCCTGCTGATCGATGATCAGGGTGTGCCCTATACCGTCTCAGAAGGGGCCTTGGCTGACGGGCCCGAGGGCTCAGGCCCCAAGAAGACCCCCCACTTCTGCCCGGTGTGCCTGCGGGCCTTCCCCTACCTCTCGGACCTGGAGCGCCATAGCATCTCGCACTCTGAGCTGAAGCCACACGAGTGCAAGGATTGTGGCAAGACCTTCAAGCGGTCCAGCCACCTGCGGCGGCACTGCAACATCCACACGGGCCTGCGGCCCTTCCGCTGCCAGCTCTGCCCCCGCCGCTTCCGCGAGGCTGGGGAGCTGGCGCACCACCACCGTGTCCACTCCGGGGAGCGCCCCTACCAGTGCCCCATCTGCCGGATGCGCTTCACAGAGGCCAACTCGCTCAGGCGCCATGCCAAACGCAAGCACCCCGAGACCATGGGGGCCCCCGTGGGTCCCCCAGAACCAGGGCCTGAGCTACCGTGGGACCACGAGGGCATACTGGCCACAGAAGTGGCCAAGGAAGAGGAGGAGGAGCCGGAGGGAAAAGAGCTGGCCTGACCCACACCCCCGGCCAGGTTTAGGGCTGGGGGTTCAGGTGCTGCGCCTGGGTCGTGTAGCCCAGACACCCTCCTGTCTGGTGGGATTCTTGTTGTGGGAGGGGATTTCAGGTGAGGACCGCAACTTCTGGTGGGCCCTGCTGCCTTCTGCCACCTTCTCCC